GTGGGGTGTGAGGCATGGCTTCCGCCCGGGAGTTGCTCGGGGGCGGGGCGGGCGGGGGAGAGGCGGGCACTACTGCTGCATTACGCCGAATGGAGCCAGCTCTGTTTGATCTCGGTTTGGACGAGGAGTGGCCGCTAATGCTCGGCCTTTTGCTTTGACCGAAGTGAGCAGTCTGGGCAGCGTCCACGACAAAGGAGGGGGACAAGAGGCGACTCCACTCGCAAGAGCAGAGCAGGGAATTCCAAGACCTCTGAGCTGAAATCCACGCAGTGCAGTACTATTTCCTGATCCAATTCAGCACGCCGTATTCTGACCACAACAAGGTTATAACTTCATGACTTGGTCCTCAAGAAACGCACTGTTCAATAGATGTTCAACCAATAAAGAACGGAAAGAGAGCAACTATCAGTTACACCCTTGCAAGTTGTGTTCAACACGGCGGTACATTTTGCACCTGATCTGGTGAGTGGAAATTTTAAGAGCGCATAACTAGCGAGTTTAACACACTTGATTTATCAGTGCTTAAGAATCAGACGTAACCAAAATGGTTATTCATTTTATTTTTGCGAAAAAGTGAAGAAAAAAATTCATTTCGGACGTTTTTTTCTTTGCGAGTAAGGAATCTGTCAGAGATGGTAAGATAATAAAAATACATTGACCAGAAGCCACCCCCTCAAAAAAATCGAGTCCATCCTTTGCACCCATGATTCAATAAGGGAGCAGCCTCGGCGGCCGGACCACACCCGGTGGACAAACGTTTTGGTGTGGTGGCTTGGGGGGAGGGGCAGGGTGGGCGAGGTAGGGTGGGGTGGGTCGACAACCCTATCCGCACCAGCCCTGTTGAAAGAGGAGTCTCCTGGGGAGGTGGCCGGCCCGGCCCGCCAACAGCATATTGCACTTCTTCCATTTGCGTAAGATTGGGGAAGGGGCGAGCCTCGCGCGCACGGCCGGACCATCCCAAGGAGGAGCAGGGGTCAGCGTATAAAGCAGCTTATTGGATAAGAGCATCTAAGTTAGCTCCCTGGGGTCCTAGCAAGGGTGACCGGCGCCCAGACCCAAGGCCCTCCTGGCAGAGTTTCTGGAAGGTTTTGGGTTTTGGCGGGGACCATTTTCTCATGTTATTGCAGAAATATTGGCATACATCCCAGTGCCGTACCAGATGCCATACCAGACAGACATCAGCGACCGAAATGCATGGTCATCCTACACTCCCCGCCCACCTCCACCCCACCCTCGCTCCTTCTAATCTTGAATAATGTTCCAACCCAAACGATTACTACCCATCCTTTAATTCAATTTACCCAAACATATCCGCATGCATTACAAACAACACTATGTGAGCCGGGTGTCAATTTCACGGTCCAAAAGACCTGCGCTATCCGTCTCCTTGACTTTGGACCGCACGAGCGCTTTCAATAAGCACCCTCCGTCCCCCGCCCCCATGGCCGCGCAGTACCACCCGCACACAGATCATTTAATTGGAGGTTTCCTACAGGAGCACCACCGCCGCCGCCACCGCCGGGCACCGGAGGGGTCGAGGGGGGTGCTCATTTCTATGCCCGCCGCAGTGTGGCGCTCGGTGTGGCGCGGCCCGGCGCCAGATTCTCCGATAAGTCGCGGTGGCGTCTGGAAGAGGGGGAGACGATGAAGGGGGTGGGGGGGGAGTGTTTGGCCATCAAATGGAAATGCTGCACCTGCACCTGCCGGCCCGCCCGCCCGCCCGCGGGCCTCCTTGCTACAACAAACACGCGAGAGGGTCAAGTGCCAGATCAAATCACGTCACCGTGGCTGGTGCGTATACGCGGCGCGTTGCGTGAGTGTGCGTTACTTTGTGCGTGTGAGTGATTATCGCCGAACACGTGCGGCCCGCCCGGGCCTCGCAACGCGCCGCCGCGCACCTTGTTGATCGCAATAACAGCTTCGCCCCATCATGCAAGATGCATTAAGAAGCGTGCTTGTATGTCTGTCTGTGTGTGAGCGAAAGAGGAAGAGAAAGAGCGCGTCCGTCCGTGTGTGTGTGTGTGTCTTTATGGACGCCACGGGGAAGACGCGCGGACACGCTGCAGGAGCAGGCTGCGCGTCACAAACGCCTTTTAAGACGTGTGTGTGTTATGGAGAGGGCGCAGCGCAGGTCTGGCCGGTGTGCGTCTGCGGCGGGAGAAGGGCGGGAGAGAGGAGCGTGAGGGGAGGAGAGGGGAACGCGCAGGGGAGAAGGGAGGAAGGGAGGAAAGGGCATGGGCAGGGAGAGCGCGTGAAGAGGGCGGGGAGCGGGAGGGGGATGCGTGTCAGCAAGTGGATGCATATGGATGAGCCTCAACAGCTGCGAGTGTAACACCGGGGGGGCGCGGGTACCGCCGAGCTGTTAAATTACCCAAAATAAGTCGTATGGCCATCCCGTGGGGCGGCGGGGCTCGAGCAGGGCCGACCACACACGCCCCTCTCCGCCCCTCTCCCGCTCTCAACCCCCGCGCGGCGGAGATTCTCTCCCATTCATCCACATTAGGCCCGTGTTTTGATGTGTCCGTGAGTAATCCTATCTAACTGTCGGCTTACGCCCCTCGCGCTGCCCAATCGGCGAGTGGGCCCGGCCGGCAGACAGCAGCAGCGGCCGCGCTGACCGAGCTGGCAGCAGCCCGGGCTCACCTCTCATTATGCGGGGATGATACATACCGCCAGGGAAGACAACAATGAAAATAAAACAACGGGGATTATTGTAAGTCCGCGCCCGGAACGGCAAGGCCGCAAAAGTTGTCAAAGAGTTAAATGAGCAGTACACAGATATGGAAACACAAAAGTCCACTCTTTACGTGTACCTAACATTTTCCTACTACAATATATTCATACACATTTTTTGACGTTGGTCACGCCTGGTCACATTTCCGATCGAGGCGCGTTCTAGGCGGCGAATCGGGGAAGCGAGGGGGGTGGTGGGGTGGGGAGGGGAGCAGGG